GGCAACGTTCTGAAAAGCTGCGTGCTTTGTATTTTCCAATTAAGATTGAAATCAGACATGTAATCCACCTGTCAGCAAGGAACTGAGACTTGAAAAATCGGGGGTTTGGTTTTTTTCTAATTGTCCTTCTACGTCATTTTGTGTGGCTGTGCTTATCTAGACTGATAGACAACTCAAACCAAAGAGGGAACACCGGTATCAAACAGATAGTGAAATACATTATCAGTTCAGTTTGAGAGAACCCAGTTTAAAATTAAAGCAGTCAAATTTGAGCTCTAGAGTACCCTTGCAGAGTACCTTGGCCCATCAAAAAGAGGAAATACACAACATTCTTTACAGTCTCGGAAAGTTCCTGATGCTCCTTGTCCCTTCAGAAAGCACAGGGCCTACCGTAACGTCCTAAGTCTTAAGCCACATGCTAAGAAGTTTGGTTATTAAAGAAAAAAGTTTGCCGTATTATTGCTGCAGTTAGCTACTTAGTTTCTTTCTGACACACTGCAAACAGAAAGGGCACCTTTGGGGTCTGATCCTGTGTTTCTGGCATACGCAAAACTCCCACTGAAGTTCACCAAAGTATGGCGTACCTGGACACTGCAGCATCAGGCCCGCAATTACTTCCTCATTACTCAGTGAAATCTTACCTAAAGGTTTAATTATATAACTGGAACAGATATATATTACCCTATTTTTATTTGTTCTCATCTGCAAGATGTCAGGAATTTGCACAGACCGTTCTTTGAGAAGAAATATTAAAGAAATGTAAAATGTCTGGATGTCCAAAATTACAAAATAAAAGTATCTCCTCATTTGAGAGCTGAAAGGTTTAATATTCAGACTAATATTTCTCTTCTACAGCTAAGGCATCGGATTTCTAATCTGTCAACAGTCCTTTTATAAAAAAGAGTTGTATGTATATTTCTATCCATTTTTAATTATATTTTATGAATGATGATCTGTATATTATTACCTCTCAGCTGCAAATTGACTAGAACATATAAACAAATATCAGAAAGACTGAGGCCCTGATCCTGCTCCCATGAAAGCCAGTGGAAAGAGAGCCATAAATTTCTACAGGAGAATTACTAGGCTTCAAAGTAGGTTTGTGCTAAAGGAAGAATTGTGTGGCACCAGGTGAAGCCAGGTACAAAAGAAATGTAATTAAAGTACAAAATGTTATCATATGCTCGGAAAAGTTTAAAAATCTCCAAATTTTACAAGCATTACATTTTTCAGATCTGAATAGCTCGAAAGAAAAAAAAGGAATATTGGCAATCTCAACAGATATTTTAGGCTGAACACAGAATGCAGGATAGGGCCCAGAATGTTTATATTGAACAATAATAAATTGTCTGTGCTGGGAAACTCAACTTGAACTGCAGCTGGAAAGGTTTCTTTCCTCTTTTCTTTTCTTTTTTTTTTTCTCCCCCTAACTGATCTGGTTCAGCCAGGGCATAGCTGTAATTACCTTCTTCCCATCTACAGCTAATACCTCAGAGCAATAAAAAAATATGAGGGTGTTAAAAATTCAAACACTAATTATGGGCTGTTATATTTACTAAACACAGCAGAGTAATAACAAAAGTTTCAGCTTCTTGTGGCCAGCGCTGCACTATTTGATCTACCAAGTCCCTGGTCCCTTTACACTTACTGTATTACATAACAGTTAATAGCGCACTAAAATAAAATTCGATAAACACATTTATTACCAAACACGTATAGCACAACCGTTTACAGCTGTCTCCTTTTTCCAGCACAGGTATATCTCTGAAGAGTTCATTCCTTTGTTGATTTTGTTTTTGGTTTCCAATTAAGTTATATAAATAGTAGAGCAGTAGATTTTGAAAAGGGAAACATTCACTGTTTGAGTACCCCATTTGAAGTCTTGTGGTAAATGTTGGCTAATCCTACAGTTCTTTCTGCTACTTTCCCTTATGCTACGTTTTCAGGTCTAGCAAAGGAATAAAACTGAGAGCTGCCTTAGCTCCTAGTTCAGCACTGCCACTGTCACTGCTACCACCCCCTGCATTCACATTAAACACACACGGTGTAGCTTTATACCACTTAATAAGAATAGAGGTGTATGGATTTTGGGGTTGTCAAACAGCTGTCACAAACTGTCACCTCCACAAGAGAAACCTTGGCACACAACAAATTAAACTACACTTCTTTTTGGCTATCATTATTCATAGCCAATCAGTTGAAATGCTCCTAGTATTTCATGTGCAAATAACACCATAAGGGGAAGACCCATGGATCAGAATAGTGGGCCAATACATAAAACAGAGGAAACAACATGCTGTCTCTGTCCTTCTGAAGTGGCTCATCATCACCCCTGCACCAACTTTCACCAAATGAGATCTAGCCTGAGGCTATATATTAAATATGCATATCAAAGCAAATGAAAAAATAAACCTGGAGAGTCAAATTGGACAAATTTGCATGCTTGAACTACTACATTTTCAGGTAGATGCTCACAAATGATAGTTCATTTTTTGATAGTCTTGCATGTTTATATTAGCCGTTTTTTAAAGCTTTTCCTTCTTTATGAATAAAAGTGGGTTTCTTCCTGCTGGAACCTTGTACAGTGCAAATATAAATGTGTACACACATGGTAGTTTGACTAAGCTATAAAAGAGTGTTAAAGTTTTGTTGGGAAAACGAGCTAATACCAAAAAATTTTGATAGTCTTGCATGTTTATATTAGCCGTTTTTTAAAGCTTTTCCTTCTTTATGAATAAAAGTGGGTTTCTTCCTGCTGGAACCTTGTACAGTGCAAATATAAATGTGTACACACATGGTAGTTTGACTAAGCTATAAAAGAGTGTTAAAGTTTTGTTGGGAAAACGAGCTAATATACCAAAAAAAAAAAAAAATCCAATAAGGAGACACATTTCCCAAAACGCATGAATAAAATGTAACTATGTGATACAACTCTTCATTTCCCAGTTGGTGTTCTGGTTGCACAAATTATTGCTTCCTTTCAAAACAAATAGCAGGGGGCTAAAGTAAAAATGTTATAGCTCAAATCTCCAGGAAATAAAAGGCTTTAAATTATAATACCCAATGAAGTGGTAAACCCTAACGGGTGCAAGATAAATGGGTTGTCATATTTATTTGAGTTTGTTTTTGGGCCACAAAAGCAAGAGGAGATTCTTCTTAGGGAAGATAATAGTTATCAAATTATTAAAATGCTAACCCCCTCCACCTCTGTCCTATCATTGTGTGTGAATTTAAATATTATAATGGCACAGTGCAAATTGGCTTGAGCATTCGCCATCTGCCAGAACCCTAAACAGGCTAGTTTATCTAATCTCTTCAATATAAACACAAGCATGCTCCATTTCTACACTTCCACTTGAAACACACTCTTGTAAAGAAACTGTACTGGAGAAACATGTACTTTTTTTTCTGTTGCTCTGAATCATACACAATGACCCCATATCTTTCAGGTTACCACTCATTTCTATTTCTTTTCTAGTACTCTCCCAGAATACTTATGCATACGAATTTAGGGTTGTAAAATGCCATAAAACAAATATTTTTGAAGTAGTGTCATGCCTCATAGAGTTTATTATCTATGTGTGAGATAGCTGATAAGCAGAGAAACTTTCAGGAACCTCTGCATACATTTTTTTCTCTCAAAATAATAGATTTACAATGTAAAACATCGCAAAAACCTTGTCCTGCAATGTTTACCGGATACAAATGAGAAAATGAAAGCTAAGGCTTGGGTCCAAAAATATTTCCCGGGCTCTGGAACTAAGCCGTGCCAGAAGGGGGGCGTTTAGAAGAATTTATTATTATTTTATCTCCCAATTCAGCCTCAGTCCAGGTCTAATGTAATTATCAAATACACACACAAACAACATGTTTTCAAAGGAGACAAAAGCTCCTAGAAAGCCCATTCTCCCTGGGCTTACAGCTACTCTTCTTAACACACTGGGAAATAAAGGCAGGCGCCTGTGCAGAAAGCATGGTTAACTTCACACCGGGTGTTAAATTAATATTTCAACCGCTAAAATATTAGACTGTATCATTTAGATTATGAGTTCAATTGAATCTAAAACTGTGTAAACCCCTTTTCCCCCCAGGGATGCGTTCCTATAAATAAACTAGAGTTCACACCCACTCTTTTTAACCAGAGCTATTCCTTCCCTTTTCTGCGGTACCAGCTGCAATCTTTCCCTTCACATCCCGAAGTCTCTCCGCGCCTACATCTTTTGAAGGATCACAAGAGCCGCTCCAAAACCCGGAAAAACAAAGGCACTCTCCTTACCACGCACACCAACGTTCAATCCTACACACATAACACTAATTCACCAACTCCTAAAGTGTTAAAATCAACCGCTAACCTACGGTTACTCAATCATCATTCTCTCCAGCTTTCTGTAATACATTGTTAATAATTGCTTCATCAAGGTTACTGTCTTTTATTATGAAGATGCTTCAGGCGTTTGGCAATAAGTCCATATTCTGACAATAAGTTGCTATAAAGCACAAGCATTGGAAACTCTAATGTGCTAACCCTTTTTTTTTTAATGCAATGTAGTATTGCCAATAATTCTCATCACTTGTCATCCCCACGAGAGAGGAGGGGGGAGCAAATCAACAAACTTTCTCCCTAACTTTCTTGTCTGTTTCCGTACATTGCTGCATTGATTACAGAGTTGGCAAAGAAGAAGAGAAAGCACCGATCCCCACATCAAACCGACAGTTTTCTAGCTCTCCAAGCTGCCCAGACCAGGAAACTTCACAAACCATCGCAAACTCGCTGCTTTACAGATGGAAACAGAAAGAAACTTTTGCATTTCTACAACTTTACAAAGCAAGAAGGAAGAAAGGGTAAAGATGGGATTTGAGCTTGCAAGAGTTTAAAGTAGTGGTAATAATAATAATAAAAATAATAATAGACAACAGCAGCAGAACAATGAAATCGGGGACAGGTCCTCTAGGCAGGTTAAAGTCTTAAAAAGTGCCATAAAGAAATCAGAAGGACTTACATGATCGGCTAAATTTGTGGAAGATCCTGAGAGTTCTTCGTGGTCTGATTTGGAGCTGCCATCCCTTTCATCAATAACGAGGTCTATTGGCATTTTTCCTTTCAAACAACTAATGTACCGATGGCAGAAGTTATCGCACAATTCATGAACCTGAAAACAGTAACAGGAATAATAGTATCAATAATGGCAAAATATCGGATTGCAACTTCTTTTTTTTTTGGTAGCAAGAACAACCCTCTGATCTACTCCACAAGTAACTCTAATTAAGGGGCACAATAGTTGAAGGCAAGGAAACAATAGAGAAATTGTTGCAGCACATATTATTCTCTAGAGACTTGCCGCAGCAACAAGTTGGAGAGAGAGAGATAGTGGGCTCAGTCTGGTGTGCAGAGGAAAATCCGATGTAATGATAACATCAGAACACTGGGAGCTGGACCCAGGCGGTATCTCTGGAGCATACACAGCCCAGACAGGTACAACTAGTCACTCGGGACGGGATCGGTGTAAACCGGGGCTAAAAAAAGGTCTATGTGGCCGGCAGCAGTAAAACGAAGCTACTCGCTGAGGCTGTGGGAAGGAAGAGCCGTTCTCGTCCCAGGGCACAGCCCCCTCCCCACGCCGCGCAGGGCCCCCTGCCTCTTCCAAACATTTAGTGCTTGCTTGGGGGTAATATGCCTGCCAGAGCTGGGGAAAGGCAGGAGTGCTTTCATTTCTCTTTTTGTTAAACATATTCTTTCCGAGTCAGGAAAAGAGCTTCTACTGAGGGAAGGGGTAAGAAGGATGGAAGGGGTTTAATGATATTAAATATTGAAATTACACTGAAAAAAAAAAAATAATGCCGGGCTGGGCATGGCTGTCGGGTGTCACATGCTTTTATGGCACAGGTTACAGTATCACCCTTCCAAAAGGTGAAACCTTAGTACTTGTATTGCTTGGATCATCTGCAAGAAAGTTTTGAGCAAGGGTTACGTGGGACCTTAGTACTTGTATTGCTTGGATCATCTGCAAGAAAGTTTTGAGCAAGGGGTTACGTGGGAGACAGGAACGCGGGGGCTGTGCAGAGCTGCGAGCCCGAGTGGGCGAGGGGGAGAAGGGGATTGTCAGGGCGCGCAGTCATTACCCAGGATTTTAGCTCATTGGTCACGCTTGAACAATTTTGATCAACTTTAACCTAAGCACTTGATTTTTATCATATTTATTCCAGGAGCGGTGATTAGTGCTTTATTACCGCGATCTTGGAGAAAACCTCTTCCTCTTTTCCTCGCTCCCTCTCAACACCCCGGCCCTCATCTCTGAGGGTCCGCAGAGGAGTCAAACACACACTCCCACCCCCCCACCGCCCTCAGGAGAAAGCAGGGGGGGGGGGGGGGGGAGGGGGGGGGATGAATAGTTTGGCATCTTCTTTACAAGCGGATTTAGGCACTTTGAATATTGAAATCGTTCACATTAGCAAAAGAATTACGTTAGAAATCTCCAGCTCTCTCTTCTTAAGCAGTTATTTCCCTCACTTTAGCTTCCCGTGGCTTTCAAACACAGCTTTGCAATGCATTAGGGCTCGAGAGTTTGCCCTGGCTCACTTTAAAAGTGCAGCTCTTTGAAGCCTCTCGACGGTAGCTTTCCAGCCTCCCGGCTCTCCCCCTCCGCTGCCCGCGCA